AAGTGTCTGTAGCAGATTGTCTTTGTTTTGCTTGAAAAGTAAATTAAATGGTTAGTTCTTCTATTCCGACTTTCCCCACAGGACTAAAATTAGCCAAAATAAATGTTGAGATTCATTGAAAAGGGTTTTACTGGTTTGGTTCTGTTTTATCTGATTGTCTCATGTATTATTTCAGCCTATCTGATCAAAATGAAGTGCAAAGAGCCCTCCTGCACCAGTGCTGTCTGTTTCCTTTGGTGTTCTCCAAAAACTTCTGTAGGTGGAGTGTGCTCATGCTAATAATACATATTAACAGCAGTGAGCTAGAATATATCAAACATCACAAAACTATTTACACGTGAGGCAAAAAATAAAGTAATCAGGCAACACAGGGAGAATAAACGGAGCCAGATATGTTGCAGCGAGTGTTTGAGACTAAAGGATGAAAGAAAGAAAACAGGAAGACCTATCCATTATTTACCGATTCCTCTCCTGCTGCAGGATGAGGCGCTTCTCGCTTTTATTTTTTACCAATTCACACAGACTAATCTCTTAAAAGGCCTAATAAGTACAGAGCAGCAAGAGGGGAAAGTGTGTGCGTGTGTGTGCGCTTACATAGGTCATACAGCTTGGCCAGGTCTCTCGTAGCCAAGGAGCGAGCTTCAGAGCACTTAAAGACCTCAGAATCCACGGAGATGCCTTCCTCCTGAACAGCAAGTGATGTTTTAATCAGAAAACGTCTTAATAAAAGGGTCAGTGTGAGCAAACACCGGCTGGCTAGTTACCTTCAGGGCTTGATGAGCTTCCTCAATGCTGGAGAAGACAGGGAGGATGTAGTGGGGCAAAGTGTCAACGTCAAGGGACACTCCAAGCTCCTTCATGCCCTTTATCACCTCCATCACACCTATGAGACACACACACACACACACACACACACACACACACACACACACACACACACACACACACACACGTAAGTGTTTGTGTGGACATCCACTGACTTCCACTCATTTTAATGACTCCACTATGCCAAACCCATACCCTAATCAATGGGGTTCTATTCCTAACCCTAAAGCAGGGGTGCCCAATCCTGGCCCTGGAGAGCCAGAATCCAACAGGTTTTAGTTCAACCCTGCTTCAACGCACCTTATTTAAATCAGCAGGTGAGAAGCTGGCCTCTGCACAGCCTGATGAGATGCTGCAGGTAATTTGAGCTCTGAATCAAGTGTGTGTGAGAGCAGAGAAACCTCCAGTACAAGGGTTGGGCACCCCTGCCCTAACCTAAATTAAAGGCTAATTGACAGCATACCTGTAAAACCACTTTTTAGGGTGCTTAGCATGGTGTGTGGACCAGCAAGATCTCCCCACAATGTAAAAATGTCCACACGTTACAGGTTAAACATATAAGGACAAGTACACACACATGATCTTATTCTCTTGCCTCAGTGCCAAGTGTGTGTGTGTGTGTGTGTGTGTGTGTGTGTGTGTGTGTGTGTGTGTGTGTGTGTGTGTGTGTGTGTGCATTTCTAAAACACACACACACACACACACACACACACACACACACACACACACACACACACCACACCCTTCGCTGTTACAATGCGAATGGCTGCTTCCTGCTCCGCCTCAGTACTGGTGGATAAACGCAGAGTACAGGCACGCACTTGGCCTGACGTGGACTTTTTCACCCTGTTCTCCAGCAGAACCCTAAGGTCCCGCCCCGGGGAAGAAGGCCGAAAGAGCCACATGCATATGGAAGAGCCACACAAACCCTCAAAGAGCACACACACTTGGGCAGCACTTTGCACACATCTGGGAGAATGTCGATAAAAAGGACAGAAAGGGCGCAGAAACACAAACTTGTGTGTCTGGTAAACAGCGGCACAGCTAAAATATCAACCCATCCAAAGTATGTGCTAAATAGGAACACATCAAGTGTACCAATACACCTCTCTACTTCTTTAAGTGCTTCCTTGAGTTGACACACCTGAAAATGTGTGTATTTAAAGCCTACTCAGGTTCTGAAACACACACATTTGTGTATATATAGATCTGTGTGTTTGTGTATCCCATTGGGACGCATGTATTCACCTGTCAGGCTCTTTAGATGAATAAAAGATGAGTTCTGGGCTTTTATACACCATTAAACCCCAAGGTTAGGCTGCCTTTTCCCAGGTAGGGCTGCCTGGACCACTCCATCTATCCAGACCCCCCGTATCATTCATTCATCTGACCCTATTTTGATCCATCTATGAAGAAAAGGTAAACAGGCAATCCTTCTCTTTCTTCTCAATGGAAGATCCATCCACTCTGCTGTCCGTCGGTTCATTCTTACCAACTCATCACTTTCATCCAGCGTTGGTTTTATGAAAGAAGTGAGGGAGCACCTGCTCTCTTCCTGAATAATCCATAATCAATTTCACAGCGAGCCAAACAGAGAACAAGTGAATGGAGAGCAGGAATATAAATATATATGGGCTCACCATAACGCAGCTTCTGGACATGAAATTCAAAGATCTTCAGCACTTTTCATCTGTGCTGTGAGGACACAGCTAGTCACGTTGTTGACCAAGGAGCTTTTAACCTTTTGAACTTGTTTCTCTTCTCTCTCAACATTTAAAGTCTGAGGAAAGGACAGGCTTTCTAAACTGGGTCCTATGTTCCTCTCCGCTTTGGATGGGAGACATCGATGCCACAAAAACCTTTGTAATGGGACTCATTAACTGACGATGGTAAAAATATAATTGGGAAAAAGTTTTAAAGAAGAAAAATCTAACAAATCTAAAAAAATAAAAATGAAGAAGAAAAAGCAAAAGAAGAAGAAGCAGATGTTTGTCTCCATCACAGCACTGGCGCTAAGCCCACCCAACATCTCTACAAACAGAGCGCTGTGATTGGACCTGCCTACACTTAGTCGAACCAATGGTAGACTTGCCGAGGCTACGATGGAGCGGTAGACCGACCTGCCGAGTGAAATCTTTTGTCTAGGTTTCTAGGCTAAGATGCAGAGGTTGTTCTGATCTGAACACGTATCGAAACACTCCCGAGCCCTTTTAACCACAAAGACAACAGGTAACATGCTGGTGAGCATTTGTTTTGCCAGATGCGGCCCGCGGAGCATTTTTATGTGGCCTGCGAGATAAATATCAAAATTATATTAAAACTGGCCCGCTGGCCGATTTTACCGCAAAGACTTCAACTCCCATGATGCTTTGTGGCGTTAGCGCGGAGCCGACGCGCCCCCTCCTTTGTGTTTTTTCCAGCGTCTTCTGCCGGTGTCTGCAGCTCCGCTGTCTCGGACAAACTAAACACTCCTCTCACTCAGCGCCGACTTCACTCAGCTATTTGCTGACGTTGAAGCCCAGAAACGGAGATTCTAGCCGCTCAGTAATGTGTTCACGACTGAAAGAGAAAGTTTTCCAACTAACGTCCAGACAGAGCTGATATAACTCCAGCGAGCAGCAATGCGCTCAAACCAGCACAGCTCTGTGGCTGCTGTAGTTGTGTTTCCTCCCCGACACACAACAACGTGGTCCAGCTGCTCAGACATGTTCATCAGCACAAACCTATGTGAGCACCTGTTGTCATCTAATGTTGTCGTTATTATGATGGAGATGAACAAAACAACAGGAGTCTCCTCCTCAGCTCAGATCAACCCCATGATGCAGGTATCTGGCTGGAACAGGTGAGCATCACAGTAAACCAGTGGAGGCAACTGAGCTTTAAATATGTTGGTTTTATGCTCTTTTTCTGCTCCAAAACATGAAAGTTAACAGGTGAGATGTTGCATTTTCATTTAAGATAAAATTATTTTTTTATTTTGTTGTTGGTTCGTGAGAAAAGATTTAACCTACAGTAAACAGGAAGTGGAAAGGCTGCAGATAGATGAATAGAATAGAAAATCCCTTTATTGTTCCTCAGTGGGGAAAGCTAGACGTCACAGCAGCGATGACACTTAATACAGGAGAAAAAAAGGAGAATAAAAAATAAGAAAAATGAATAAACAAGAAAACATAAATCCTGAATAGATTTATAAAATGCTGATTATACCACAAGTAATGAATACCACTGATGTGTTTTATTTGTAACCGACTTGCTCGTGTGTAATTTGGTATTCCACATTCAGCGTTAATGCAGAAATAAGTTTGTTTCCAAATTTAAAGGTTCAAAATTGCATACATGTTGATAAAGAAAACGTGCAAATTTACCGTCACTTTTTCAAAAAATATTAAGTTTGGCCCTCGACTCCGTCCCAGAGTTTCATTTCGGCCCCTTGTGAGTTTGAGTTTGACACCCCTGCTCTAGAGGACTAAAACGACCTCTCTTTTAAATAACAAACTCAAACATTACAAAAATTAAACATTTAAACAATTTCCCTGCATTGAAAACCTCGTTTCAATAATAACGGCTGTAAAATAAGCAGCCAGCATGTCTTCAGTCCTGCAGCTTTTTTGTTTGCTCAAGAAAAAAAATAAAATCTCCAAATCATTGTAACCTCTTTCACTGACCTTTCATTTAGTTTTAGTTGAATTTGAACCAGTTGCTGACTAAACTACTGACAGAGTAACTCTTTGTTCCTGTAACCTGTCCAGAGAGAGGCTCTGCGACTCATGCAAGGAAACTGCACATTTTTAGGACATTCTGTAATTTTGCCCTCAAACAGGCACCGACAATCACAACCCAGTGAGACAGGGTTTAAAGGTGAACAAAACTAACTAAATAACTGGTGAGACAGGCGCCAAAAGTTCACATCTCCCTCTTAATAATTCTCATACTTTTACCTTCCTCCATGTTTTTGACAGGGAAGAAAAGCAAGAAGAATCGGACACCTGACACACCATCCAGGCAGGAAGTATCAAACAGTGAGTTAAGCATGGCAGCGGTCACAAAGTATCACCATCAGATTCATGTCTGCAGGTTAACTGTCACACACGGGAAGTGAGGAGGGAGAATAGGAGAGGAAAAGAGGAGTGGAGTGAACCGGTTGCTGCCATCTCCTCCCATCTCTGGACATGAGTACCTGTCACTTTCTCTTTTCTTTCTCCTCCTACACCATCTGCCTCTCCATCCCTCCTCATCAGCGACTTAAGGTGGACTGTTGCTGCCAAGCAGAGACAGGTCTAAAACTAGAAGCTAGAGTCATTGAAGCAGCTAAAGCTGCACTTGTGTTCTGGTTTGATTTTTCCCTTTTAATCAGCTCAGTTGCATCAGACCAACCTACTGACACCTAAAGAGGAGAGCAAATGATCTGGTAATGGTGATGGTGGCAGAGAGGAAAACTGACCTAACAAGGGCGTCTTTACACCTCTCCCATCACCAAGACACACAAAGTCTGAAGCTCTGCCTCCCTGTGCAGCTGCTCCATCCTCGCCCTCCTCCTTTCTCAGTGTCAGAAGAGATAAACGCACACCGCGTCGCAGCGACGGACAAGCAGTGACTAGCTGCCGGCAGGTGGCAAGACCAGCCGAGCATATGCTTTCTTTAAGCCCACCAAATCCACACCTCATCAACATGTAAGAGATTTTTTTCTCTCCCTCCTCTCTTTATTACTCCCCCTCCAATTCCTCAGCTCTGGCCTCTCTGCCCGTTAGTGACACCTGTGGACAAAAAGTGACACAGCGCTTAATATTTCATGTGCCATGCACAGTGGGGCGCGTAATCTAAAGTGAATTCCCTCAGAGCGCTTGCATTTACATGAAATCAAGTCACTCTGCATCAGTCACATCACCTGCACTGCCGTCCGAAAGTCAACCCCCCCCCCCCCCCACACACACACACACACACACACACACACCTCCTACAGCCACTGAACGTGAGGTGGCGCGAAGGTGGGGGGTGTTGCATGTTTCATGAGGGTTAAGGCAAACACCAACGGAAACAAGCAAGGGTGACAGAGAGAGAAGTTTCTTCACTTTCTCTTCTGTTCTTCCTCCCTTCTGCACTGCGATACCTAAATGGACGCCGTCTGATGCGGCTGTCAGGTGGTGCAGTGGGAGAGCTCAAAGCACAGTAAGTGTGTCTGGTTGCACATGTTTGAACCCGTATCCTGCCCTCCCCTTCAGGCTGCCGCTGAGACATCTCACCAATCCAACTCCGAATTCGTCTCGACCACATGGAAGATTCAATTTGCAGCGTGGCCACGCCGGCCTGACCAGTTTTCACCTCCCTGCCAACTCAAATGCTGTCAGTCGGCTGACAAGAGAAAAATCCATCATTTATTAAATGCTCTAAAAAACCCCAAAGAGAGACCCAGAGCTTAGGAAACACGGAGCACTTAAAAACCAAGCAGCCGCTGAGCACGTCTGACGGCGTGCTTTTGCTAATGACTTGTGATTTCTGACAAGTCTCCAGGTGCCAGCTATCTGTGAGCGAGAAGATTTCCACCACCACGCGTGCGTTTCTATCCACATCGATGGAAAATAACACGATTTCTAAATTTAAAGATGACAAACAATTCGTCAATCCTCTGGTTCTTGTTACCTTAAATATATATCAGTCACATTACCTGAGAAATAAGTTTGGTTTGGAAACAGATTTAAAGGAAGCAAGAAGCAAAATGACACATTTTAAAACTGCCTAAAGGAGCAAAGTTCAGCCAGTCATAAACCGTGTACCACTTTCCTCTGAGCAGCTTCCGCACAGGTGGCATCTGCTGCTTCACGTCTATTTTTTGCAGAAAACACCACAAAAACAGGACAAATAGTCACACTGACAATGTTAGCAAATAATCAAAATCTAATTCAAACAAATAACACGAATAATATAAAAACTATGACTAGATTAGGCAAGCAGGGGATAAAAGAGTGTAGAGAGATCAGGGGGTGAAATAAAAACCGCCTTTATGACTCAAGAGTATTTTCTAAAAGTCAAAAAGTCTTTTTGGTTAGCAGGAAATGGAAAGTTGAGAGTTTAGAGATACAGTCGAGGAGTTCTCCAGAGACCCCGTGTGTATTTTTGAGTGTTCGCGTTTGTTTTATCTCCTCCGGCCTGAACCCTCTCACGCAGGGATCGGCCGTTTTCGCCCCTCACTGGCCCAGCCCAATGAAATCTGTCCCAGTTGGTTCGCTCACAAGGTCATTAATATTTAAGCCAAATGCTCCTGCTCTTTCTGGTACAGAGGATGTTATAATCCCCTCTACGCCGTCAGAAAAAAGAAAAAGCTAGAAATCCACTAATATTATGTTCAACAAATACTTCAGATAGAGAAGAGCGAGACTTGATTTCCTCTTAATGCTCTTTTCTCGTCTGGAAGGAACCTAAACGGCTCGAAGATGGAACTACAAGCTGGGACGTATGATTCAATATTAAAAAGCTAAGAATAAAGAATGTCTTCAATAAAAGGCGTCATCTTTAAATAATGAAATGTCAGCATAACCTGCTAAAACAAGCCGATTCAATAAGTTTGAGTGATGTTGGTATTTCACTACATTCAGTCCACCGTGGTGGACGCTATGAAGCTAATGCAGTGGCAGTGTGTATATTTCTGCCTCTAGGGGGCAGTACAAACATTTCAGGGTAGTTTTACACGACATCACTGTAACTGTCGCTAGTTAAAAAAGCATTACGGTAAAGTTACCAGTGGAGCAGAAAGTATGCAACCTCGGTTTGACCCCTTAGACTGACGGTCCTTCAGTGAATCCATCGAAAGAAGGCAATGTCGATTGTAGTTTTCTTGTGCTGTACTTTCTGGTACTCCTTGGGGTCCTGCGCCTGCTGATGACGTCATCATTCTATGGCAGGGGTGTCAAACTCAAACTCACACGGGGCCAAAATGAAACTCTGGGACGGAGTCGAGGGCCAAACTTAATATTTTTTGAAAAAGTGACGGCAAATTTGCACATTTTCTTTATCAACATATATGCAATTTTGAACCTTTTAATTAGGAAACAAACATATTTCTGCATTAACACAGAATGTGGAATAACCAAATTACACACGAGCAAGTCAGTTTTAAATAAAAGGCATCAGTGGTATTCATTACTTGTGGAATATTCAGCATTTTTAAAATCTATTCAGGATTTATGTTTTCTTGTTGTTTATTCATTTTTCTTATTTTTTATTCTCCTTTTTTTCTCCTGTAATACGTGTCATCGCTGCTGTGACGTCTAGCTTTCCCCACTGAGGAACAATAAAGGGATTTTCTATTCTATTCATCTATCTGCAGCCTTTCCACTTCCTGTTTACTGTAGGTTAAATCTTTTCTCACGGGCCAACAACAAAATAAAAATATAATTTTATCTTAAATGAAAATGCAACATCTCACCTGTTAACTTTCATGTTTTGGAGCAGAAAAAGAGCATAAAACCAACATATTTAAAGCTCAGTTTGCTCCACTGGTGTACTGTGATGCTCACCTGTTCCAGCCAGATACCTGCATCATGGGGTTGAGGAGCTCGAGCTGAGGAGGAGACTCCTGTTGTTTTGTTCATCTTCATCATAATAACGACAACATTAGATGACAACAGGTGCTCACATAGGTTTGTGCTGCTGAACATGTCTGAGCAACTTGACCACGTTGTTGTGTGTCGGGGAGGAAACAACGACAGCAGCCACAGAGCCGTGCTGGTTTGAGCGTGTCGCTGTTCGCTGGAGTTATATCAGCTCTGTCTGGACGTTAGTTGGAAAACTTTCTCTTTCAGTCATGAACATTACTGAGCGGCTAGAATTTCCGTTTCTGGGCTTCAACGTCAGAAAACAGCTGACTGAACTCGGCGCTGAGTGAGAGGAGTGTAGTTTGTCTGAGACAGCGGAGCTGCAGACACCGGCAGCAGGCGCTGGAAAAGACACAAAGGAGGGGGCGCGTCGGCTCCGTGCTAACGCCGCAAAGCATCATGGGAGTTGAAGTCTTTGCGGTAAAATCGGCCAGCTGGCCAGTTTTAATATATTTTTGATATTTATCTCGCGGGCCACATAAAAATGCTCCGCGGGCCGCATCTGGCCCGCGGGCCTTGAGTCTGACACATGTGTACTATGGCAATACCGCTCAGCCAAAATTTATTGCATCTCTTTTTTGATTCTGTTCTTTCACAAATGCTTTGGAAAGAGTTTAGCAGTTTGGTCCCTAAATGTGTTTCTTACCGCCTAAATGTTGGTGAACGTGGTAACATAACTTCCGTAAGTCGTACATCCAGCCAATCATCTAGTGTGACATCATCAACTGGCACAAGACCCTGAGTCGGCCAGAAGAAAACATGCCGTCTAATATGGCGTTCCCCAAAGACGCTAGACCCACGCACTTTATCTTTGATGTTATTTTTATAATTATATGTTACAAAGCCACCAATATTTAAAAAAAACTGGACATTTTATTCATTTTCAACGTTTCAATGAATATTTCCAGAGATTAATGGTAAAAACTACATACCGTCTCTTTAAGAAGACAAATCCTTTCTTTGGAAAGAGTTGTGTTCCTACCTGCTACGTTGTTGTCCTTCAGAGGCTGAGTGAGAAGAGGCCAAAAGTAATGAGGCCTTATGGGCAAGTTCTGCTCCTTCATCAGCTTCATCAGCCCTAAAGCCGTACCTGAAAAGAAATGAGAGCAGAAAACATGAAGCTTTTTCTTGCATTACACCAAATAGCTGTGTTTGCATCTAGTAATGAAACTTACCGATCTTCTTGGCCTCCAGGGCACAGAACAGAGTGAAGGTGAGCGGTGCGGAGTGCAGCTTTAACTCCTGCAGCTCTTTGCAGAAGCCGGCAATCTTCTCCAGCGGCTGTGGTTCACAAACGTAGCAATAATGATTAAAATGAATAAATCAATAACTACTTGCTGCCGCATATTAAAAACCCACAAATGTACTTTAGAGATCATTATCGTGCATCAGGTATTTTTTGTTTGTTTTTTTAGCAAAAACAGAACAAGAGTGAATATTTTCTTTTGTACCTTCTCCATGTTGATGCAGTGCCTGATGAAGAAGTTTCCTAAGTTGGAGCTTTCATCGTTTTCCGATTGTAGGCTAGGAAAAGCTTTCAGGATGCTAAAAGCTACGTCCTCTTGTCCCTGGGTAATGAGGCTCAAGCACAAGTTCATGGCATCTACAAAGAAAACAAATGTATATTTTACCAACCATCCGACCAGTAAGATATAAATGAATAATTTATAGAAACACACACTTCTAAAGAATTCCTTTAATGACACAAACACACGAAAGTAGCCGTGTACAGTCTCCACAAAAAGAAACCTTCAAATATCAACTGAAATCAGGATTAGCATTTGCCCCAACGTTCCGACCCTCATCTATGGTCACGAGCTTTGGGCGGTGACTGAAAGAACGAAATTGCTGATACAAGTGGCCGAAATTAGTTTTCAATGCAAGGTGTCTGGGCTCCATCTCAGTAGATCTGCTGCTCCTCCACATCAAGAGGAGCCAGTTGAGCTGGCTCTGACATCTGGTTAGGATTAGGGCTGCAGCTATCGAATATTTTTGTAATCGAGTACTCTATCTAATCTTTTTTTCGATTAATCGAGTACTCTAATAAATTACCCTTTTGTGTTTGTAAACCTTTATATCATATATTGATGAGCCAAAATGGCGCCGAGTATGGCTGCCTCGTCGCGAGCTCCACCAAGTTCCAACATTACACGCTCCATACTGTACATTAATGCCACTGTTTTGCACATACCAACCTCTGTACATTTTATATCTCTTATCTTATTGTTTACTTTATTCATTTGTATACTTAGATTAGTCATTTTTATATTTTACTTGTTTTTACATTACTGTATTTTTGCACAACTCTGTTGCTGTGAAGCTCGCACACAAGAATTTCACTCGCATGTACTGTACCAGTGTACCTGCACATGTGACGTGACAATAAAAGTGATTTGATTTGATATCAAATAGCATGTTATAATTATGAAAGACCTCTTAAAATGAGCAAGCAATTGCCAGTTATTCTTCAAGTTTTATTCAAAATTAGTTTGCATAACTTCAGCACTTCAACTTCACAGTAAACAAATGCCTGTGCAAAAAATAAGTAAACAACCTGAGCCGATTTTCCCCTCGTGCGAGAATCTGCTAGCCTGCAAGCCAGACAAAAACTAGGAGAATAACGCTGCGAGCGGCTGCGGCCCAAACAGAACCAGAACCAGAACCGCTCACGGCGCAAACAGCTCGCCGGCTGTTTCCCTATTAACACACGTCCGTTTTAATTTCTACACTTTTTTTCTCACACTAACAAGGATTGCCAAAAGCATGTTTGCTGTGGTTTTGTCAAATTATACTGATCACAAAACATTTATTTACTTTCTTTCGTTTTCCTCCGCCACTCATAAATACCCGTGTCCTCCTGCAGAAACCCCGAGGGACAACAGACATCAATAACACAATAGAAAGTCCGACATATTGTGTAAAAACTGCTATTTTTTAGCACATTTTCAGTCCGACGTGTTGCTACCAGATGTACGGTGTGAGCTGAAACTGAGTGCTACAAACGAAAAAGTCGCAGTGTCCACAGAATATATAGAATAACAGGCTAAAATGCATTATCTTGTAGAGGCTCTGAGTCCGCTTGCAGAAGTGACATTTACAGGTGCTGCAGCACGGAGGATGTGGTGTTGTGGTAGGCAAAATCCATTTTACAGTATTTATACTGGACTACGTTTTCCGCCTTACGATGTGAAAAATGGTCCCACAACTTTGACATTTTCTGTCTTTTTCGCCCTCCACCGGGGTTCAAGTTGTCCGCCATGGCTTAAGAGAAAGTTAAGTTATATTCGCTACCCGCGTGTGCATTCAGTCCAGTGGGCATGTGCGTCACTTATTTCGGTCCGGGTGAAACATGACCCCGGGCGATTGCAAAGCCATGAATTAATTAAATATGAATTAAACGAATCCTCGAGGCAGAGAATTTGACTCGAGGATTTTTTGTACTCGAATTATTTGAGGTACTCGAGGAATCGTTTCAGCTCTAGTTAGGATGCCTCCTGGACACCTCCTTTGTGAGGTTTTCCAGGCATATCCAACTGGGAGGAGAGCCAAAGGAAGACCCAGGACAGGCTGGAAGGCCTATGTCTCTCGGCTGGCTAGGGAACGCTTTGAGATTCCCCCCGAAGAGCTGGCCCAAGTGGCTGGAGAGAGGGAAGTCTGGGCCTCTCTGATTAGGCTGCTGCCCCCGCGACCCAACCTCGAATAAGCAAACGAAAATGGATGGATATCTACAAACTATTTATAAGGAGAGCCTTACTGTACAAAGCAAAGAAGGTTAATGATGTGTACCTGGTATAAACCCCCGGTCATGCCTCAGCCGTTCCATGAATACTGGTATGTGCTGCTTTTGTCCGTTTTTGGCCAGAGTGAAGATGACCTGCATGATGTCCCTGTCGATCAGACTGCAGTCTGCACTCTCTGCTGCCTCCAGAGTCTGAAATGTTTGACGTGAAAAAAATGAAAGAGTTGGTTTGAGATGGATGGGGGGGGGGGGGGGGGGATTAGACAGGAGCATTCTCCTTCATTATTTTCACCAATCACACACCTTATTCATACCATCCAGATCTCCCTTTGAAGCATACGCATTCAGCAGTGACACGTAGGTGACAGGACTGGGTTCGATCCCCGCTCCTCGCATCACAGGCAGGATGTTTGCTGCACTCTCGATATCGCTGCTCAGTGAGAAGGAAAATCCAGGCTTATATGGTTAAGACTAGGACTTGTGAAATTAAATTTGGCAAATCAAAAAGAATCTAACTCACCCTGCAATGGCATGACCCATCACCAGAGAGCTAAAAACATCTTCGGTGATGGGTAAATCTTTGCTTTTCATAAAACCCAAGATGGTGCTGCAAATGCATTAAAGAAATAAGAAATACGTAGAAAAAATAATGAAAAACTATAATAAGTTTGTTTTTAGAGAGAGAATAAAAATACCCTAAAGGGTCGGTATAAACCTGGGAGTGATATTTGCGTGCACCCACTTAATCATTATTATTTTATTAACAGACCAGAAAGTGAGATGTGGTGAAAGCTGTGCACTCTGTAACGTGTAAAGATTTACATCAGCAGTGCTTCTGTAGAGATCTGTCATGTCTACATTGTTGTAAATGTCATTTATTTCATAAAAATCTGCCCAACAACACAAAAAAAGTCATCTCACCTGGCTCCCTCAATATCTCCGTTTTGGCAGTAAGCTGCTATCAGCCTCTGGTATGTAACCTGCAACATTAGACAATGAAACAGAGCTTGAAAGTGTTTTCAGATACATCAGAACAATCTAGAAAAAAATCTGGGAAAAAAACTGAAAATATTCTGAGACTGGTAAAAAAAATGCATGCATGTTACAAATAAATAAATAAATAAACAAATAAATAAATAAAAAGCCAAAGAAAATTAAGTGTGAAAGTTTTTTTTCGGAGGTCCTTCATTAGCTCCACCCAGTGCCTGACTACTCACTCTGTTGGGCTGAATATTCGCAGATTCCATTTTTGCCAGGAAGTCCGTGGGAGAGAACTTGAACTCGTTCTGCACGTAAACCTTTAGCAAGGCGTTGTAGTGACTAACATCATATTGTGCACCTGGAGTGGAGACGGTGGTCAGTCAGAATAATGAGATCAAAATTAGAGAACAGTTCCCTGATTAAAAGCAGCTTCAAGTAGGATTTAAACTGTTGTTACTGAAACAATCATATGTAATATACATGTATGCATGCATGAAGCAAGTAAATGGACATTTGTAGTGTAACTTGAGGGCTGGTTGTTATTGTTGCCGGCACAGTCTCCTACCCAGCCCCTGCAGCTTATCCCACACACGATGAGCCAGCTCGGTCCGTTCCTCCAGAGGAAGCTCAGGCAGCAGAGACCCACAGCTACGCAGCAGCAACAAGGCTTGATTACCGCTGGGATAACCTTCACACACACAGGTGTGGAAAAATGACCACAAAAACATCATCATAGATAATAAACAGTTTAAAACTGAGCATATTATAAAAAATTGGGTGTCTGAAGTTTCCACCTGCTCAACACCCTACCTGTCCTGCAGATATCATGGAAGATGCGGAGCAGTAATGTCTTGGTAATACGACCCGTCCTTCGTACAGAGCTGTCCAGTTTGGTCAGGGCCCAGTCAAACTGCCGCTCCTGCTTGGACTGCACCGCAACACTAGATTCATCCTGTTGTTCTGTGGCCACAGCAAAGTTACGCACACACCCAGCTGCATATGGCCACACACACCTGTGAGGGGTAACAAATGGGGGAAACGAAACAGATCAGAAAAGGAAAATATTTTAGTATCGAAGTAATAAAAGAACTGGAGGCCAACAATGATCTTGTAACAATTAGAACATAAAGAGATGGTTAAATGTCTAACATGTACCTTGGTAAAGTTGTATTTTTAAAAAGCAGCTAAGAAAATATCTGGTTAAAATACTTAGCATATTTTTTTTATTCTTTAACAATATTTACAGCAAAGATAGATTTTTCACACACACACACACACACACACACACACACACACACACACACACACACACACACACACGTGTGGAGGATTTCCCTTCTGTGTGAACTTAATACATGAAATTTTGCACATTTTACTAAAAATATATAATATGTGATGTTTCCTCAGCAAATGCCGTTCTCATGATGCAAGTTGGCAGATCAACATTACAGATGAATCCAAGAGAAGTTTTGAGATTCCCAGACGTCATGATGCTTCCCAACAAAGGCAACATTTATGATACCTTTATTTTTAAATCCCATTTATTGCAACACAGGAAGTAAAGCTGATTGTTTAATGACATTTTGAATGTAAAGCTGCTTTTTGAGAACAGTTTGTATTTATACTTCCTCAGTTTGTAATAAGCTGTGACCTTGAACGATGACAGTCCCATATAATAAGCCTGATGATGCAATTCTTTCCGTTATACGCTTGCATCAGTGCATCATGAAAAGCATTTAGATATTACATTAAAGTATAAAATTCATTTATATTAATTCACCTTTGAGTAGCTACAGCATTACATCCACCAGGGAGGCTAATGCTAAAAGCTAACATGCTACAAATAAAATGTTTAGGATAACTCAAAAAGAAAGAGAATCAACTGCTGTAATAAACTAAAACAATTAACGTAAGTGTCTTATTATTGTGTTTTAAGCAGCTCCACGACATTTTTGGCTCGCATGGGGAAACGTTTAGTTTTACTAGCAGGTACAATAACACGGTAATATATTGTTAAATAATGTCAGATGTCTAGATATAACACTACAAGTTGTAAGCGAATAAAAACGTGCGTTTTTAGATGTCACTGTCAATGACAACCGCTCCACGCGTGGATCACAGCGGCGTTAGCTAACGGCTAACATGCAGTTACGTACCTGGAAACGCTGTCGCTAACAAGGACAAGCTGTCGGGAGAAAACACCGGTTCTTCCACAGCTGACAGCACCGCTGTACAGCCGGCCGAGCGGAGGTCCGCATCTTTTGGTTCCCTGGATCTGGAGCAAACCCGAAGGTGAAAACTTAAGTAACCGGGCAGATCTCAAGAGCGCAGCCATGTTTTCTACCACAGTAAAGGAACTTCCACACCACGTGATTAATCTGAAGTATCGTGAGATTACCGAGCACACGCTCGCTTATCTTCACACGGCTGTTCTGTTTTATATAACCTCTTTAAACTATCTTCCAGGTTCTGCTACTTGCTTAAGTGGTTGCCGGTATTTCTGCAGGCTTTTTGAAAGGGCGTTCGGCTTTAATTTGTTTTTTTATTCTTATTCACTTGTTTTCTATGCAACAAACAACTTTAAACAGTAGATGTATAATTACAATTAAACGTTCAAAATACGTATTATATATGTCGATGGTCTTAACCGAGTTTTGTTTATCAATGGTCCCTTTATAGAAATAACTCATGACTTCTGCACTCTGTAAAAGTTGGACATTGTTTCTTCAACATGCAGCACAAGATGTAAAACAAATTCTGTGGTGGCAACATTTTTTGTAGACTAATTTAAACCTTAATATAAAAAACCAAACAAAAAATTATATTCTAGAGTTCAAATTCACAATAACTAACAAGCATCTGGTTTTTAATATGATTTTATTACAACACAAACATTAATACAATGACATGTTAAAAAACATTTTAGCTCAACTCTTCAATAAGCCTAACATTTCCTTTAGTCTTCTCTTTCTTCATGTTTTTCTCAACGACAGTCTTTGCTTTCTCCAAGCTGTCTCTCACACTTGCTCTTCTACTGTGTTCACTCCATAATTCAATTGCAATTCTTTGGATCTGCTGTATGTTTTCCAACACCCAGGCTTGAAAGAATTCACATTTTTTGCATGCCAAAAAGTACTTCTGTCTCTTTGCCCCATCCTCACTCTCTTTAGACAAGTTCATTCTGGTCTTAGAGAACACCGTACGCAGCTGGCTCAAAGCTGCCAGACAGTATCCTGCCTTGTCCTGCCTATCTCTGCCAGTCATGATGTGAGCCACAGCTTCCACTGCCCTAGCTGGTGCAAGAGGATCCTGCCTATCGAAGTAACCTCCGTGCAGAACAAGAGATTCTCCACAGTCTAAGGCCTCTTGAACAGAGTGAAACACCTTGTTTGAGTTCAGTGCCTCTGATAGAGAAAGTGTCATTTCACACAGTTCAAACAACAGGGAATCTGTGTCACCATTGAACAGACACAATGAAAATGTATAAGCATAAAGAGCATTAACTAGACCATAACAAGCCAGAGGAGATGGATTTGCACACAAGGAGCTCATCTTTGGAATTTTTGCAGAAATCGGAGGAACTCGTTGAACAAACGAGTTTCTTTGACTCTTTGTTTGCCTTTCTTTTCTTCCCTTAACCATGTCTAGGTTCTGACCTTCTTTTTGTGAAACCTTGACTTGATTATCACTGCTCTGCTCATTTATAACAGATATGTTTTCACTCTTTGCTTTACTTGCTTCTTCCTTAAGCACCTCCACAAGTGTTCCTCCTCTCTCTTCATGCTCCTCCCACCAGGGCTTCCACAGGGGTACAAGCTCCCCAATAGTTCCACCTTTCACAAGATCCAAAAACTTCTCCTGCTCTTTACCACTAAGAAGTTGCCACAGCTCCTCCTCTGAAAGCTTATCAATATCCATCCCTGACAATCGCTCAGCCAAGTCTGGCTCACCTTCCTTGCTGTCAGCATCCTCACCTGTCGCTCCAACCAGTGGCTCTCCTCCCATCTCCTCGAGTTTTCTCAAGATAGCTTCTATCTCTGCTATGTTCCCATCTCCAGACTGCTGAAGTTCTGCTAGTCTGGAAAGATGTTCCAAAACCTGCACCTTCTCTGTTGTTGTTTCTCCTCCCCTCTCATCTGTGTCCTCACCTACAATACCAGCATCTTTTAACAATTTCTCCATCCCCCCATGTGTCATTTCAGCTTTGTGCCTCAGTCCCAACAGTATCTCTTGCATCTTCTTTCTGCCTTCAGACCCTGTTTTCCCCATTTCCTTGAGTTCCTGAAGAACAGACTCCTTGTAAAACTCCTCTGAGCACACAGAGTGGTCTGGGCTCTGGTAGCAAGACAAGCCACAGTACTGAAGGTTACACCGGGGACAGGTGTAGTTAGAGGCTTTACATTTACACAGCATGCAAATCGCACTCCTCTTGTTGTTAGTCTCATCCTCCTTTTCCCCTTGGATCTTGGCTGGAGAAAGAAGCTCATCTTTCCCAGATCCAGCTCCCCTGGCCGGGAGCAGGATCCCATCCTTGGTCTCAGTGTCTGTCTTGACGTCAGTCCACCTCTCATCCTCTTTTGGACCAATATCGGTGAGAAAACTCCTCACTGACGGCGGAAGCCTCCGTCTAATTAATGGATTCATTTGCAGGAGAGCACGACGGTTATGAGAGGAATGAGCTGAAATAATAACCAAAGAGTAAAAAAAAACAGGAAATATATTAGTCGGAAGCGTTAGCATTGTAGAAATTAGAATTTTACCGCGCGAAATAGATGTGTAGTTTCTACATTCGGAGCGTTACATCCAAAAACCGCTTTCATAATTATTTCTTTCGCCAAAAGGTTTAAAGTCTCTGACGATGTCTTTTAAGAAACGCTAAAGAACGAGCTTTACTCACTCCAGTGCTTTTACACCTCAATGGTTTACACCGCCGACATGACACGTTTGTTGTCCTCAAAAAGCACCGCCACGTCGCCTGTTGATGACGTAATCATTAGGGTTTTTTTCCCTTCTTTTGCTGGTTGGTTCTGGTAAGGATCTAAGGAACCAGGCTGGATAAAAAAAAGAAACAATTTACAACAAAGCAATCAAAATTTATTTAACAATATACATGTTGCAAAAGCAGAGAATTTAAAATAGGCTCGATAAGATGAATTTTCTTTGAATTTTCTTCATGATTTGCATTTACTACTACTATTGTTTAAATTAGTTTCTGCCATGAAGTCCGATCGGCTTTTTTGTGTGTGTGTCACATTATTTAATTCCTCTGTTTTAGATTACAAATTAACACGCCTCATTGATCAATTGGTTGTCTGTTATTGATTCTATTTAGTTTTAGACATTCAATTTTATTCGTGTTTGTTTTTCACATTTTTACTAACAGAATATTGATTTGGCCTTTTTGAACTAATGTATTTTATTTTCCAAGTTATTTATTTATTTAAATGTTATGATATTATAACTATTATTGCATCTCACGTTTTTGTCCAATCCTATTCAGTTATGCTGCATTATTTTTAAAAAGAACAATATAGTAAATGATTAACATTTAGAATCTATGTGGGAAAAAATCCAACCCACTTTCTTTTTTAATTTAAAGGTTATTACATTGTCTCCAATCTAAATCACTGAGCTTATTCCTGTTTGAACTTAACTCAGTGGAATCTGCAGGTCAGTCATTGTTTCTACTAATTCTTTGCTAAAATTATTATAATGATTTTAAAGAAGGAGGCAATTTCTTTCTCCAAACCATAAAGTGAGACTTAAAATATTCAAGCTTGTAAGCATCTTAAAAATACCTAATTTAATTCTAACTTTTTGCACATCTGTGGCCATTATGCAGGAGCATGCTTGCCTGTCTGTGTCCTCCTGAGTGCGCAGTGTGTCTGCATCTCCTGTAGGGCTGTTTGCTATGAGGTGATTGTCTCCTGTAGGGGGTCAAGCATGGTAAAGGTCATGCAGGTGGGGAGTTGTCACATGGCTGTCCACCCCTCACTGGTCCAAAGGGCTCTCATGCCTCCTGTCAGAGCCTTTGGGGAAAGAGGGAGGAGAACTGGTGTGTGAGGAGGACGTGTGCCATGCTGTCTCAGCCCCACCCCTGGCAGACACCCCAGCAGTCCCGGGTGGGCAGCTGCCTTCTCTTATTTTCCTTCTCGTTCCTCGGCATGTCCTGTGACGTGTTAGTGCCCCAACACAAGAATTTTTTTTTTTGCTTTCTTATGTGATCAAAAAAGATCTTGCAAATGTTAGAATGCAACATATTTAATTTATAATGAGACTCTTTATTAGTCATCCTCTCAAAAGAAGTACAAAACCAATGTGAGAGTATCATCTTGATTGCTTTATACTTGCTTTATACTTGCTTTATACTTAATGTAATATAGATCATAAATACTGGGTTTAGAATACTAAGACAACATTAATCATTATTTATGACATTTCATTAATACATTAATGTCCAACCTCTAGAATAATGGTCTGAGCAACACAAATAAATGTAAGTTAACTTTGTAATGATGCATTCAATATAAAATGTTTTAACTGCACTTTAACTTGACGCAAAAAATAAAAAATAAACATCAGAATAGAAGAACATGTCAGTGATTTTATTTTAGGCTGCAAATTATAAAGGTAAAAAGAAGAAATATATTTGTTTTAAAACTTGCAACTATACCAATGAACATCAAAGTTGTCCTCACAAAGATGTCAGTACACCCATGTAAACACACCCACGTCCTGCTGTCTGCCACCAGCTGATAGGCGACAGGAAACAGGCTCTGCCTTTTGGGCATGTCCAGCCATGGCATGTCTGCAGCTGGAGCTGTCTGCTGAGCATCAGCAGGGTGTGTGTGCACACGCACGTGTGTGTGTGTGTCCACAGTAAAATGAGGATGGCTCTACAGTATGTTGACATACAGTATGTTGTCACCTGTCAGCTCAAAGGGTCTGTCATTTCACGACTCTGTAGAAAAAACACATGTGTGTGTGTATGTGAGAGAGAGAGAGAGAGAGAGAGAGAGAGAGAGAGAGAGAGAGAGAGAGAGAGAGAGAGAAAGAACATATATCCACATAAAAGATCACAAACATTCATTTCAGTTGACAATCTGACTTCTGCACAAAAATCTGGATTTATTTTTTGTTGAATCTCAAGCAGTGGTTTGCAGAGACAATTTGTGCATGATAAGAGCATTAGTGTAAAGTTCTCGTCAAACCAAATCAGAATCAGAATCAGATTAGGTTTATTGCCATTGTCAGTGAACAAACAATTCACAAACTAGGAAATGACTGTAATGTGACATTAATTGTAAAATAAAAGAATACCAAGGTGGATGATAGAAAACAGAGAAAGTTCATCTTATTGGTTAAATTCAGTAAAATAAGAACCAGCTATTGAAAATGAAAATTTACAATAAAAGTGGGAATGAGATCGAAAGAAAGAGCTCAGATATTCAATACCATCAAAATTGAAATTTTACAAAGTTCCTAAAGCTCCTTTAGGAAAATCAAGGTGACTGCATGAGTCAGAATTCTTGCATAGCAACAACAGCATCTTTCCCCTTCACCATGTCATCCTCTTGCACCATTTTTGTGAATGAAGCCTGGAATGTTAGCTCAGCTCTTCCAGCATAAAAGCATCAATCCACTCCTTCAATTATTCATCTCCAGGATCTATCATTGTTGTTTCTTCCTCACTGTTCTTCCCTCTCTCTACCCACTTTTGTCAGGTCACCCACATACACCCTCCCCCTCTCTATCTTGTTGATGAGCTTCAGCCATAAATCTCTCACAACCTAGATGTGTGTGTGTGTGTGTGTGTGTGTGTGTGTTCTGAGTGCAGTGCAGCGCGTGATGTGCTAAAACCCAGGCAGTGGGAGCAGTATCCTCTCAGTGACTTAAAGTGGCTGTTGACAACAGTGACAGAAACAAGCTGGCAGATGGAAAAAGAAACCTCACACCACTTTAGAAGTCACCTCTTTTCCCATATTGTCCAGCGTGGGAAATAGAGGCTCCAGTGTAACACTGAAGTCCACACCAGCAATTTGTTGCACCTTCTTATCTGGTTTTACACCAGCAATTTTTCATACTGTCATTTTGAAGGTTCCGAGTTTCCTCTGGGTCTCATGCATGCAATCTATCAGTTACTATCCTCACATATTTTATATTTCTTTCTTTTTAAATTTCATTTAAGCTGCTTTGCTTTGAGGGATTTGTCTTTAAATTTTCAGCAGGTGTCCTTTAGATTTTCTGTAAGGACTTTAATTTGGAAAGGAGTTCATTCAGTCTTTCAGCTTTTTGTTTAAAATCTAGAAAACTTTATGCAAACTATGCAAATATGTAAAGTACACATTTTCTTGTGGCAAAAACAAAGAGGTGCTTCTTGCTGACTTTTAAAATTCCAGAAAATTCAAACCTCTTTTAACCTTTGGGATTTTTCTCAAACCTGTCTCACGTCTCATCCCCAACCATAATGTTATGATCAAATGAATTTATGACAAGGAAATTCCAGATTGAGTTAGTTCTTCTCAAAAAAAATTTTATCCAGAGAAAATAAAGAAAGACTTTCATGTTTTTCTCTTCTTCCATCACACCATTCCCTCAGGATACAACCTGAGACTGACTGTATATCGGTGTATCACCTGCATCCATCTGTCTGCCCTGTCTCTCATCCCCATGAGAGGGAGCAGAGGGTCAAGAAAGGAGCAGAGTGGAGGAATGAGCGGGGGGAGGTGTCCCACAGGACTGGCCTCTGTCTCTCTGAATATTACTATGAAAGGGTTACTTAAATGAAAACTTCCAGGTTTAAAGTGAAAGTTTTGAAGATTTCCATTGGCCAATATCGAAAGTAAATATCAGAAAACTAGTTTTAAAGAAAAAGAGATTAAATTAGAGAACTTCTTTTTTCGTCAGAGCCGCCAGCTGTTCATGGAGCTACTTCCGTTTATGGGTGGACAGCAAATAAACACACACAGCAAGCCCGCTCATAAGTGGAAGTGACGCCACGAACAGCTGGTGGCTCTGACGAAGACGGATGTTCCGGCCGAAACATGTCAGCCGAAGGTAAAAAAAAAAAAAAAAACTCAATTACTGCATTGTGTTAAATAAAATAAAAGATGATTAGGAATTAACACACAGAACGAATATACAGAAGAGTTTTAAATTAGAGAAGATTTATGACTTATTGACTTGAATTTGAACAAAAACACCAGCAGAAATTAAGTAAAAACGAGTTGAAAAACTTTTTATGGCTGCAAACACATTCAATCAATCAATCAATCAATCAATCAATCAAAGCTTTATTTATAAAGCTTCAGCAGTTAGAAGATGGAAATACAGACCTGGACAAAATTGTTGGTACCCTTTGGTCAATGAATAAAAACATAATGGTCACAGAAATAACTTCAATCTGACAAAACTAATAATAAATAAAAATTCTATGAAATTTTACCATGAAAGTCAGACACTGCTTTTCAACCAAGCTTCAACTGAATAAAAAAAATTAATTTATAGAACAGGCCTGGACAAAAATAATGGTTCCCCTATTTAATATTTGGTTGCAAAACCTTTTGAGGCAATCAAACAATTCTTGTAACTGTCAGTGAGACTTCTCCACCTATTAGCAGGTGTTTTGACCCACTCCTCATGAGCACTGACTAATTACAACATTGTATAGACACCTATGATGCTTGTTTGTAGACACACCTTGAATTAAAAGGGAACCAGGCAGTTTTGGCTTGCTTTTAGCACTCCTCAGTGTCCGTTTGTAGAACTGAAACCCAACACCTTAATCTAACAGCTGAGACGTCTCCACAGCCTTCATTCGTGTCTACAGTAGTGATTCATCACTAAATTAATCAAATCAGATGTGTTCATGATATAAAAACACAGAAAATGTGCTGGAACCAAACTGCAGCGCCTGGTTTGTCAGCTCAGCAGAGTGGCTCGCTAAAGTTGCAAGTGTTGAGTTAATTTTTTTTTAAATAATTCCATTGAACCATGGTTGAAAAGCAATGTCAG